ACTTCTCTGCCTGCAAACGCAAGACCGGGGGTTTGAGTGAAGACGGGGGCTTGAGTCTGATTAAACGTGAGACTTGAGCTTCGGAGGGCACTTCGAGGCTCGAAAGACAGAAAACCCTTCCCTCCAGGGTTGCAGTTCGTGCTTTTTGCTTGCATGAGAATTTGTTCCTGCGGTGCTAGTGAAAGCCGGTAGCCTTCGGATTGCAGGGTCTCTGGAAACAATTGGCGGTTTGTGCATTATTGCACTAGTCGTATAGCAGCAGCACCACCACCAGAAGGAGAAAGTCGTCGTCGTACAACCTCCGATGCTTTCCCTTCGAGGGGCTGCTCGACAGCAACCGGGACTCGCATTGCAGTGCTTGCCTTGTCGGAAGCTGCCGCCTGAAATTCCTGCCAGAAGCAGATTGCAGTTTAGGGTTTCGACCCTCGCAACTGGCAAAATTCGGGTTTGGGGGTTTGCAGGATTCCCGGTGGCTCTCATCAGCTTCTCGCTCGAAGTTTCAAGCCCGGCAAAGTTGGCATCTAGAGGCGCAGCAATCGCCGTTCGGCTGTTAGTGCTCACCCACAGCACCTCCGGAGCAACTTCTCCGGGCTGAGGCGCCGGAATCTTTGCGTGGGTCACCTGGGAAGCTGGAAGGTGTAGTTTTGGATCATGATGTCACTAAACCAAGGCACGAAGCAAGAACAACAGAGGATTGCGACTCTTGTAGGGATCTTTGTCTTCCTGACCTTGAACCCCAACCCCGGAAAATGTGGGTCGACAGCTCAGGGTTTGATCAAGTATCCAAGAGCAGGGTGACAACTCTTAGATGTTCTTTCTTCGAAGCACCTTGCTACTGTGTTGCACTCTTATTTAGCTAGTGAAGTTATGTAACTGTGACTGGCAGCTATGACTATCAGTCCTTAAGTATAATAATGAATGCACTCACACCTTATTAAGTCCCACGACCCTCCGGGTACCTCATTAACTCAGTTGGGCAAACAGCGCAGTGAGAAACTCAGGACCACGCTCCTGCCATGGAGAAGTGGTGATACTGGGGTACAGGGAAAGTCGGACGCTGAAACAACGCCGCCTCTCAGGGCATTGGATTTTGGGGTTTAGGGATATGGCATTTCGGTTGCGCTGGCCTGGCAAAGGGTGGGATTAGTTAGGCTGTAAGCCTAACGGGAACACGTAGCAAGTCCTAAGCTCCCGTGCGAACAAAGACGTAAGCGAGAACAATTTAGTTAGGAAAGCTGAACTTGCATCGGCTGGGAGATCTATAGTTGTTGTCATCTATGTGCACATCTAGTATGCCAAATCCGCCGCCGGTTCCGACACGACACCCGGACAAACCCGAACTCATTCCTCCAACAAACTAGACGAGATGAGACGAAGACCTCTCGACCATGACCACGTTATTAGGTGGGCTCTGCTTGTGCCCTTCTTAACAGGCTGAGCCTCCCAAGACATCATCGGATCACTGCCCTTTGCGGGGTACGTCGGCCGCTGCGCAGCCTGGGGGGATCACGGCTGCAGTTAAATTCTGATGACCAGAAGAAGGATAACAGTCATGGTCTGACACATCAAGACATGTGTCACGGCTGTGAAATCTCGACGCTCTCCCCATGAGCCCAACTGGGTGTTGAAGCAACGAAGTGTGCTGAAGGTGATTTGGTAAGATGTCAGCAAAATGATGTAACACGTTTCAGTGGAGGCCTCAGGTTTCGGGCATAGTGCCGTTGGAACACGAGAAATCAGGGAGATTTGGCTCCAGACTATGCTGTGTGGAGTGCGTCTTTGCCCTTGAAATCAAGCAACAAACAGGTTTGTCATCAATATTAAGGTTCAGGGTTTGGAAGGGATGGGCCGTNNATCGATGCAGGATTTCGTCCATCAACAGGGGTTCGCTATGCTGAGCACAGACAACTCGGACGTGTGATGCAGCGTGTGTCGATGGGAGGCGCGCACCCGGCAATCCGTTCCCCCATGATTAGCTTCGGATTTGCTTGCGGACTCTAGAAATGGATCCTAAACTATCTGCCATCACAAGGTGATCTATAGCAGCATATTGTGCACGAACATGCTGGCAGTGCCAACTTTTCTGCAACCTTCAGCCGCGCCGTGACAATTGCAGAAATTGCTAGCTTTATGTCGTAGTTCCCAAGACGAATACAAAAAAACACATCGTACGATCACGCTAGTGAAGAGCAAACTGGGTACCAAAACCGAAGGGAGCCTAAAATGTGCTTGAGGTGCCCACCGGGCCATCCGTTGCCATAGGCCTCCAAAGTGCAGCGGCATCCAACACCCAACTGCACACGTAATTGTATTACATTTCATGCACATCGTACACATGTAACATATATAATATAATCTAATCTAGTCTAATATAATATAATATAAGTTCTCGGTCATGTACTTGTTAATAGCACTACGCTGAACATGTTCTGCCCAGCATTCATTGATTTTGCAACCCAAAGGCTGGAACTCGAAATCCCGTGTCTGTCCGACACTGTACCACTAGTGGATAACTTTGTTGTTTTCCGGCTTCTATGGCCTAAAAGATCTCCAGCCCAAACCAGAACCTCCTCAGAGACTCGAGCTGTTCCCTTTACGAAGTCCTCTAATCACAACCGTCTGGTGATCGAAACGAATCAATTCCGGTGAAACTTGCAGCCAAGACCTCTTGCGATCACACCTTGGGCCCCGACGGCTCAACATAACGTAAGCCTCAGTCGTTTGCCGGGCTCTGGTTGCCGTCTCCAGTGAGAGTATACCGCATTGACGGAAAAAAACTCAGTGCGCAGAAGACAGAGGATGGTCGGGCCCATGGTGGTACCTGTGCTAACCCCCTTACGTACCAATGTCGCGGAGAGGACAATGTCAAGGATTCAAAGCATCGCGGGTCGCCTTCAACCAAAAAGAGAAAGAGAGCATTCAAAGATACACGTCATTCAAGCGAGAAGTGAAGCCTCGCACTTCAGTGGAACCGGCAAGCTGCATGCCTACCTGCAAAACTATCTTCTAAACCCTCTCTTGAACATCCATGTAGTGAGAGTCCGGCGATCTGCATCGCTTCGCACGCCCATGGTGTGAATCCCTGGGCTTGGGACGCTCAGGCTTAGGCGGGGTTTGCCTTAGGAAGTATCACGGAAGTTTGCAAGACGGAGCAAGTTGATCTAAATGTTTGATCCGCAAACTCATTTGTGACTCTACTCCGTCCCTCGCAGCTGCCATATCATGTGCTCGTAGTCTTGCTGCGAGGCTCGAGGCGTGCAGTCTCAGGCCGTCACGATTCCATTTTTGAATCACTGCCAAACCTGCCGAGAGCATTCTCCCACATTTACAAGTGGCACAAAGGTCTCCACGACATGTTTGCCATACAACCTCTGTAGGGGCTCCGTGAGAACCAGTTAACCTTGAAGTAAGAAGCCAACCCAAGTGAACAGCGGCAAGACGACACAAGTATGAATCGGCTCTTCATGCAGAAGATCCAGCAGAATCTCTATGCAGGAAAATCTGTGCCTGCAAGTTTGGCTCACTTCGAGCTTGTCTCATTAATTGGACAGTCGGTTTCCGGCTTCATGTGCGACACGACGAAAAAATCGCTTCGCTGGCTCTCCCTGTCTCTTCATCTTCTGTCACCCGTCTGACGCTGGGCCCAAGGACCATCCTGGCCGGACAGTCTCTCTGATCTGTCTCCGTCTCTCCGCTTCTGCGCTGTTGGTCTACGTGTGTCTGAGTCAGTCCGTGTGGTTCGCGATGCTTGAGCATAACATGAGGCGTAAGAATGCGCACCACACGTTGTAAGCACCCACTACGCCGCTACGAGTAACGATGGGTCTATCAACCTGCAAACAACCAGAATCAGCAACTTTTCAAACACCCACTACACGACAGCTTGAAAGCCGCACTCGTGTGACATTGTCGCACCTTGCCTCGCAGCTAAACAACTTAGTCCACTAGGATTCAATGCCAATCTGAATACCATGCACCACCACACAGACGTCTGTCTTGAAACATCGCGCAGCTAAAGGGTTATAACATGTCCCCTGAAGACTCTGGTTGGCCTGGTCCCCAGCGTGCGGACTCGGTGCGACGAACAGCAAAAGGGAGTCACAACTTGCTGTTGAGGGATTGGGGCTTAGTGTTTCCATCCTACCATTCGGGGGGCCTGGCTTGGGCTTGAATTGGAGTTGGAAGGACGAAGCTGGTCTTAAACCTGGCGCAGCACATTCAATACGGTTAAGGCTTCGGACTCTAGATCTACAAACCTGAGCTAGAAGCCTCAAACCCCAAACCCTACCAACCTTGTACCCACCCCCGGAAACCTCATCTTCGGGGTTTGGGGGCCCCGTCGGATTTCTGGACGGGACCAGCCGCCGAATCGAGTTGCTTAGAATGATAGGGATTACCGGTGTATCATACTCATAACACGAATAAGCATAAACTTTACATAAACTTTACACAAACTTCACCACAAAAAACATATACTTTAAAAGAACAGACATAAGATTTGCAACAGTTGCTGTTTACCGGTGATGCTTAGGGGTGGAGGTTGAAGGGCTGAGGGCTCTATGGGTGTTGAGCATAGAAAGGATCTCATTCAGGCCGAGTCAGAGTCAAGGTCGCTAAATGTGAGCAGGATCGCGGAAGTGCACTGTAGTATTTATATATATATATATATCTATGTATGTGTATATATATATATATAGATAGAGTATAGAGATTGACGACTACTCCAGGAAGCGCCGAAGAATCTGTCGCGAACAGGCGGAGTTGCGGCGATTTTTTTGCACTGCGAATTTCAAAAGAATTCGTGAGCGACTCGTGATTTATTATTGCACCCGAGCTGCACATGCTTTGATCGAGTCCTCACATCCTGAACCCTTGCAACCTCCAAGCGGTCCGAGCAACGCCTAGAACCGCAAGTTAAACAACAACTATGCCGGCCCCAAAGTCTACCCCTCAAAACAAAAGGAATCTACAGTGGAGGGTGTAGGCTGAGACACCGACGCCATTTCGCTGCGTCGCCGCAAGACCGGGCAAACTCCCCGACTTGGGCGGCGGGCCGTTGGAGTTCAGGTCGGGATGTTGGTGGCGGTTGGGGCTGCAGTTCTCAAAAAACTTGACAGAATTGTCTGAAGTCGGCGAGCGAAAACAGCGACAACAGATGCGCAGACCCTGGCACTGTCCCTGTAATTACTGAAATCCAAACTCCACTCACACCTGAAAGCCCAAGAAGAAGGCTTCTCCTTGCTACATACCACAACCAGGGCGCAACTCTGCAAACATCCCACCCACGCGCGAACAAACCCTAAACCGTAAACCCCAAACTCCCAACCCTAAACCCCAAACCATAAAAGCTCAACAAGCAAAGCCCCGGCCATGAGCCTCGAAATCCAAAACAGCAAAAGCCCCATGAACGTCTCGATGAAGACCCTCTACAGCCCGTAAGCCGTGCCTTCCAAAGAAGCCGAAACGACTCGAATCGTGTCGTGTAGTCGAACTTCAGGCGGCATGACGGCATTCAGTTATTCAACCATGTAGCTGGCCGAACATATACCGTTCCATGCAACTACAGAAAGCCTGTCTCACGCCCGAGTGTCTTCGAAGCGGTGCCAGAAGGTGCTTTAATCCTTGAACAAACCAAGGCACCTCCGCAAGAGCCCGCTCTGCCGCTCGAGCCTTTCGCCGAGCACGCAGCACCTGCCAGGGTCGACAGCATGTGCAAACAACGTGACATGCGAAACAAACTCAAATATGCCCCTTAAAAAGGGAAACTTTCTGTCAATTAGAGCTTCTCGGTTCTAAGTTTCAGGGAGGAGACGTCGCCAGTTGGGAGAGGTGTTTTTTAAGATCGAACCGCCTAGACTTGCCAGCACGGTGTTGAAACGGTCCCACGCCTAAGCCCTCTAACCGGGCATCTGAGCATGATGTCGGCAACAGGAGCTCGTTAAATCATCCAGCAACATAAACAGCAAGTCATAGCGAGTCAATGCTTTGACTCATGAAATAAACATCTTACCATACGTGACGACATCATACATAAGCTGCAATTCGTAGACCCAAGACGCAATCAAAAATACACATGTATACCTACACCATAGGCTCTCATGCAATAGCCTCATGATACTCGAAAAGTTCAAACCAAACCCTAAACCCTCAACCCTAAACCCTAAACCCCTAAACCTTAAACCCACAGAACTGAAAACAAGAACCACCTCCATCGCCGGACTTCCTCTGACTGCGGGGCTCTCCGCCTCGCCAACTCGAGTTTCAGGGGAGACGATTCATGATTCAAAGTAATAAAGCGGGGTTGGGCCGGTTTGGGGTGTAGAGGTTTAGGATTTAGGACTTAAGGCCTTAATAATTAGGGTTTTGGAATATGTGATACACTAGGCTACACTATGTTTACACGATGTTTAGAAAAGGAGGCAGGTTTCCTGGGGTGACAAAGGATGTCTGCGATCTATGGTTTCGAATATTTGTTGATTTCTGCCGTAAAAGGACATTTCACACCATGCGGTGGTTTTCAACAATCCGGTACTTTGGATTCAAGAACTCACCACTTTGTTTTTGCAAGACCCACATGCACATGCACATCTTTTCTCACGTTGTAAGCCCTCGGCAACTGAAAAAATGTAGGCCTCTAGATTGGGTGGCTTCCTGTAATTGCCCTTCTTGCCCAAGCAACAGTTTGTTCAAGGTTGTTGTTGGTCAGACCTCCTCGAAACTCAACCGCCGAGTGCTTCTTTGAAGTCACGCTGTGAGTCCGGGTTAGTATGCACCGATTTGGACCAAACAGGTGCGGCAACGTAGTGTTCACGTTTAACTTGGCTTCAAGGATGAGACTTTAATTCAGCAAAACTTACAGCCTTCTTGTTACACATGCTGCAGCTCGAAGAATTGCTGTGGCAAGAGTTCCATACTGTGGCCCGCCATCGACAACAACCCCGAACTCTTAGTTAGTGTCCCAATGCACATGATTTCCGAAGACACATGCAACTTGCTTCGTGACGCATCCTACTTTTTACAATGGTAATACTGGAGGCAGACTCGAGCTGAACATCACGCCTCACCTCACGAAAAAACAAAAACAACCGTCGCCTTTCCCCGTCTGAAGGTTTCATCGCCGAAGACGATGAAATCCCGGCCATTCCTGGCGACCAAGGGCTGGAGTAATATTATCTTGCCGTACAGCACGCGGGCTTCTTTGACGGAGTTGCCTCTGTGAGTTTAAACGAGAGTGGAATAAAGGGTTCGTAGCATGCAACTAAGAAAACTCGTTAGCTTAAGGCTCAGAAGAAAGACATGTAGCGCCGTCGCAGAGACGCGAATCTGGGCCGAGCACCCGCCGGGAGTCGCGTTGTTGTTGATCAGCCGTAAGCCTGAAGAGAACATGATTGGGGTTCGACCGAAAACTGCTACTGCATAGTGGCCTATGGCTTTGCACTGCGCACCGCTGTTCTTATTTCCGACAACTGTAAATTTTACAGTCGCGAGACACCAACCTGAGGTACAACTTGACCAACGGAGCCTTGTCACGGAGCCTTTTCAAACCGTGCTGAAGCAATGACTCCAAACTCAACTCCCCGGTGGGATCATCCTCAGGGCAACCTCAATCAGCTCATGTTCCAGGTAGCTGGGAAAACACTTTTTGTGGCATGGGCAAAAATAAGCCATGCAAACCAAGCTGCCATAGGCCGACATGGTATTCACACAGTCGAGGCGTAAGTAATAATGCACTGCTGTCAGTGTCGTGAAGCAACTGGAACTTTTGGAAAACTCTTTCAGGTGACATTTCGTAATGCCATGTACATCGGCAGAACCTGCATTTCTGGAGCCCACTGCGCGACAAGCACGAACAACTGCACCACTTTATGATCTGTGCTGCTTGGCCCACTCCACTGGCAATTACTGCAGGCTGTTCGGTCGAAAAGTAGACAGGGTGCCTGCCAAATACCACGTAATCTTTTAAGTGTAACTCAACAGAATTGCATGCACACCCGCACCTGCGACAGAACTGCGTGTCGTGCCGTTTGAGCTAAATCGCTTTGGTCAGGAGAATCTGGACAGTTTTTGGGCTGACCCGCCCCCCCCCCCCCCCTNNCCCCCCCCCCCCCCCCCCCCGGGGGCCAAATTACAGAAAGGGAACATGACTCAACTGCCCCGTCCCATGATAATCCCTTCCTGTCCCGAAGTGTCACACAAGTGGGACGTCTCTTTTGCAGCTGCAGTGCGGCGCACTCAAGGACGTGAGGCCAATGGAAATCTATGTTTTGCCGATCGAAGTCTTCCTTGCCTGTATCTTCCCCGCATGGAACCTCTCGGCCTATCTCAACAAACCGCTTTGCAACCGAGCGAATTGACATGAACCAGTCATGAAGCTTGCTTGAACCTGTACGTGCTTGACTTGAGATGGGGACTGTACTTCCCGAAGGCAGCGTGGCATCACTTCGAGGCGCGGAGATAGAATGCCGTGCGGTCCTTCGCCGAAGTTCGAAGAAATTCAAATCTGCACACCTGAAAGCTATGCTCGGAGAAATCCGGGCGATGTTGATGTTGCTTCAGCAGCGACTGCAAAGTGCTTGTAGATAGATCAACTCAGCACCAGATTGACGAGGGTTCAGAGATCAGCAGGCTGAAGATAGAATTCCTCCCACGTTGCCCCAGCTCAGCCATCAAGGGTGAAATCTGCAAATGGTTCAAGATCACGAGGCACACTTCCAAGGCATGTGGGTCTCGATTAGCACCTAATTGTGGGTGTAGGGTCCAGAGATGTCCAGGGAATCTGTCGCTCAACCTTGCAACCCTTCAACATCATCTCGACGCTTTGCCGACCTTTTCCAGGCACAAGAGCAAGCTGAACGAGCGGCCATAAGCTAAACCAACTAAACATCCGTCTTTAGCACAGAAAATGTGCAATGTATTCTTCTGCCAAGTGCTGACTTACATTTTGCATATGAACAGAATATGTACATATACAGACGTACAGGCACTCACATGCTGACGTTTATATAGTATATGTTGACAGCTCTTGTTGTGTACCGTGCACATATGTCTCTAGGGACGCCCACACTCAGAAGACCGTGCCCTCCCCTCCAAGCACTTGGCAGCTTCATGCTGTAACAGTGACCATCTGGGCAGCCAACTCCTGCTCAGAATCGGATCCAGACATCGGGGTGGGAGAGGCTGACTTGTGATTCAGGGTCCGCGACTTTGGGTTTTTGGTTTGCGCTGCAAGTCGGCGAACGCTAGGTTGCGGCTCAGCATTTCGGAGAACTTGCGTGCTCAGCACCCCGAGGCCGGACCGATGAGCAGAGAGTGGAAGAGAACTCAGGCCTTTGAAGAACGAAGGATCAGACCGACAAGACTACAAACATGCACAGACTTCTCGCGACACGATGCCGGTTTGTATGTATGGATGCACGTATAAATGTGTACGTATATGTATACGTATGCGTACAGGTAGATATAGGCATGCATACACTCAAAGACATGTATAATACATGTGTGTACTTATGCATATACAGTGAGAGAGAAAGATAAATAAATTACTGAATAAATAACAACTTTACATATACATATAACTGTATTGTATATATATATATATGTATGTATGCATGCATGCATGCATGCATGCATGGATGTATGTATGTATGTATGTATGTATGTATGTATGTATACATGTGTAGAGATAGAATCCGGTATAGATGTCAAACCTCTATATACATGTCCATATCTGTAGATACATGTAGCATCGATCCTGTTTGGAACTAGTAGATTCCCTCCCCAGTGGAATGCACAGTTCGGGGCTGAGTGAGCACTTTATCCGCTGCCATGATGCAAGCAAGGAATCAGGAGTTCTGTTTGGGCATAAGGGGGTTGGAGTTTTGGCTTAGGTCGTACATACCCAAATGCAACGGCTCCTTGCCTTCATGAACCTGAAGAGCCAAACTCCCCTTTCCAGCTTTCCGTCGCGTACAGTACCGGCGGTGTCCTCGGCTTTATCTTTGCCATAGAGCTGCTCCACAATCTTCAGCGCAAACTGCAGCCTTCCATGCGCTGATTACGGAACACACGAATCTAGTCGATGCTACGTTAGAATGACTTACCTGCCATCGGCACGGAGCTTAACCTCAGCAACACAGCAGGTGCACACCTGGAGGCTCTGAATACACCCGAACCTGGCTGATACTTTCCACCAGCGACACGAGTGATGTGGCCAGTGGCACGGTCGAAAATTCAAGCGTCTGGCTCCAGCAAACGTGTGACGAACGAAGCTGAATCTAGACTCGACAATAAGCTTGATGCCTTCATCATGCCGTGATCACCCTTAGACAGGGTTCTCTTCTGGATCCAACAACGATTGCGGTTGAAGGTTACTGACGAGGGTTTGCAGCAGCTTTGCGACTGCGACATGTACAACCTTCTTAATTTGTGCAGTCTTGACAAAGCAAACATCTGAAATCAACTGCCAGGTTTCTGTGAGGGTCACTGCCATGGTTACTGTGGTGTAGCCGCTAATTATGCAGTTGCACTCATCACCGGGCACCATTCGATCAAGCACTGGCTGCACAAAATACATGTAATCATGGTCCCTAAACCTATAAACCCTAAACCCTTTTTTGAACCCAGACTCTGCCAATCAGCTGGGCCTAACCCTAAACCCCAAACCCTTATGATTTGCCAAGAGGCGAAGTCCCAGGACCTTGACTGGTAATGACGTTGCCATCCACCACGGCCTACTTTTGCTGAGGCTGCCGGATTGGGGGCTCCAAAAATGCCACCAGCGATCTTATGAACGGTATTAGTAGCTATTAGTACAGCAGAGTTTTGTAGATAGCCAAGAACACCTGGACGCTCAACATACGATCGCAACATCTGGCACCATGCCCCCCCGGTGCCAACACGCACATCACCTCGCGTCCGTCATCCTCGACCTCCAAAGCTGGTGCTGGAATCCACACCAACATCCTTTTCCGCAGTCCGGCCAACAGTTGAAAGAACACGGCCAAATCATAGTCTTCACATCGTCCTCGAGAAGATAGACTGCAGAATAAGTGCATTCGGATTGAAACCCTGCCCACAGGCCTTAGCATCCTTCCAACCAGCACCTACCAGTTCCTTGAACTGCGGTGCTGGATAGCCTCGATCTGAGTTGAGGCTTGCTTTTGTTCGGTGGTACAATCGCCCGAACTAAACAAAAAACACACTGGCTCAGACATTGCTGGAAGGAGAGTTGAGGCACAGGTGGCCGCATCCTTCACAAGCCCGTGGTGTGCAAAGACCACGGCTGGACTGGCGCAAACGGCCGCCGTGAGTCGGCCGCTCTCTTTCTGTGCCTGCGTTTGGAGAAGCTATACATACAATGAGATACCATATACTATAATGTACTATAACATGCTCTAACATACTATCATATACTACAATATATATGTATATACATATATGTGAGTGTATGTATATGTACATATACGAGAGTATATTACAATATACTATGGTATACTATCATAATATACTACAACATACTATTAGCATACTATACTGCACTGGCTCCCTCTCTCTCTCTCTCTGCCGTTGCATCCAGAGGGTCATCATATAAAATCATGCACAAGAATATACTTGAGTATAGAACCCTACTAGCCCTACTATATGCTTCAGGAGGAAGAACGGAGGTCTGAAGGTCTTCAGCACCGGAATACAGAGGAGTGTTGGGACTCTGTGGACTCAAGGTTTAGGGTTTGAGCTTTTACTAGTGCATGGCAGCACGCTATCCCACAATGTCCAAACATGCTCTGGTCACCTGTGGGTTTCTCATCTGATGAGCGGCAGCTACGATGCTCCCATCCGAACGTCCACACACATGATAGCTGGGATTCCGTGTCCCAGAAGACCTAGTTCAATCAAGCCAATCGCTGCCAGACCACTTCTGCTACAGACACAATACCCTCTTGATATGGGGGGTGTTGTGTGTCTGGTTTATTGGAACTAACTAGAAGCAGCGACACAGTACCATGGAAGCACATTTGACTCGGGGTCCCACCTCCCATCAACGATACCTACAGAATCAACAGGAAGCGTCAATAAAACGCAAAGACTCTGTAGGCCTTCGAAACCAACAAAGATGGCCTTGAGCAAGTCCACTAGAACCTGCGAGTCGCGCAGATGTTCAGCTCCTGGCATACCACCTGCGGTTTAGGGTGATAAGTTTTCACATCTAAGCGTGTTGACACTCACGCTCGGATGCTTGGTGCAACTGTCTAGGTTTTTCCGGTTGTTTTTGGTTGCGACTCTCACATCCTGTCAAGTGTAGCTGCGCTGTCCAGTAGTTACACTCGACACCGCCTCTCGCACAAGTTGAACTGACGGACGACACCCTTAATTACGGAGTTCTCCACCAGCAATGGTCGCTTCCCTCAGCCACCTACGCCCACGCCCAAAAGCCCAACCGTACGAGGAGCCTAGCTCATTCAACTGCCACATGCCTTGGCATATTGATTGCTTGAGGCTGATTAGAGTCATACTTCCGGGGTTGGGAGATTAATTTTCGGCCAGAGATGCAGCGAAGAAAAACATCGGGCCACAACTACAAAGCGTTCCATCGCATCTTGCCTGTGAGACACCTGTATCCCTGTGATCGACCCGGCTTGTCTGGTGAAACTCGCCCAAACATGCAACAACAACCGCCTGAGCCAGTGCAACTTCCAACTACCTTGAGTTCACTGTTGCCCCTTGGGCAACCGTGTTTCCTACGCCACCCAAAAAGGCCCTGCGCATGCTATGCAGTAGTCATGATCAGAAGGCATCCCCAACCCGAGCTCGTAGGCCTGGTAGGGCGATCACATCCCATGGCTGGTCCTCGGGAGCCGAGACTCTGGGGCTTCTGGCTCCAGGAGACAATTGGGCTTCCTTGCGGCTGTAGCGTTTATGGGGCCTGGAGGAAGCATCTACAGGATTTGGAGCTGCGAGTTTCGGTGCCAAGCCTCATGATCCTAAGGTGTGTGACCACGAACCTGACCCTCAACACACTGTGCCCCAAACTGTAATCCCAAATGCCCAGGATAGTAGGCCGATTGATCTGGCATGAACAAACTCCCCCCAGGGTTTAGGGCTCTACGCGGGCTCCATGAGGATTTTACACGGGCATTCATAAGGATCCCATAGTGGCTCTATGTGGGCTTTTGATTAAGAGCTATCTTGGGCTCCATAATGGGTCTAGGAGGGTTAAGGAGCCAGGTCTCGGCGCACTCTTCGATGCTCGTGTCCGCGACCACCTTCCTTGGTTTGTCTCTCAGCTTCAATCTTGCTTGGCTTCCCAAGCTCACCTGGACCCTCGATGGGGAAATTTCAATAATGAAACCCTTAACAGGCAGGCTATTTAGGGTTCAGGCAAAGTTTGAGATTTGTGTCATTCTCTAGATGCAACTAAATCACAGTCCCCTGGACATGCGCACCTGAAGCGCGCCGCTGACACTCGCCACAGTCACATCTGCTCCGGCTCGGGTGAGTACGTCGGTGATGCAGGCCGTCTCGATTTCCTCATGATCTGTTATCTTATGCTATGTTCTATAAAACGGTATAATGACGCTGTATTTGTGCATTCTCACAACAAGAGGCGCCCAAAGCTAAACCCAAACACTCCACCCTGAATCACACGCCACAAGCATGCAACAGAATGATCCCAAGCTCTCCGTCTTGGCTGAACAAGAGCTCCGACAAGCAAAGTTTAGGCTTTAAAAGCCAAGCAGGAACCCCCCCATTTTGGGCCCCCAGGGACCTCGGAGTCCTCTGCGATGGGCACCAGCACCCGGTAAGGAGCTGTTGCGGACTCTGCGTAGCGACGGGTCCACTGCCGCTGTGGCTTGGGCCAGGAGCCAGCGAAAGCAAAGGTGAAGGGGGCCAGGCGTACACCTAAAAGGCAAGCCGATGCGACGACGGCAGCCTGGCGCACCCTTTGGGGCCGTCGGGTCTGTGAGAGCATGGCCCCTCGCAAGGCCTGGCCTATGCAAGGCATCTTGCTAAGCTGATCCAGCTAAGCGGCGGCGGTGGTGCCGTGGTGCAGACATAGCATGAACAGAAAAACACAGTTGAATCATTGAACGCGCAACCCGGACACAGAGCATCCAAAACGGAACTGCATTACCGATATACTCTGATCCACAAGGACTTTTATTGGCTCGCCACAGGTGCAGAGAAGGGGAGCCGAAATCCCAACACCCCCAGTACCAACCAACAGCGATTCTACCTCCTTGGCGGTCCTGGGCCCTCCAGTTCACCACGGGGTCGCGCCAGGTGAGCGGGTAGTCGGCATCCTTGAACTCTGAAAGCTTCTTCTTTCGAGTGTAAGGATTTCGGACGTCCGAAGTTGAGCTTCGAAGTTTGCATGAGGCGTGTGCTTACGGTGCTTCTGGATGGGCTTACATGCTCTGGTCGCAGCTGCAAATACTGGACGCTCTTCTATGCCTGCCGGAAGTGCTCGTGAACACATGCCATTTGCACAGCGCATAGTGACCGAAGGACCTCATTGATGATGTCCGCTATACCGGTTTTTCAAAGCCATTAAGTCCCGAAGTCTGCTGCATGCATCCAGAATCCTAAACCAGAGCACATTATCCTTTCATTACATCGCCTTGGCTCCATTTAGGGCACCCTTGTCTTCTGTGCTGAAGCATGACCGAACAACCTGACTGGGACGACCAGAAATAATGGGTGCGCTCGCTTGGAGAGAGCGGATTAGCAGTCATTTAGCTGCCCAGTTTCGGTCGTCACCCGATTTGGCTGGACCGAAGTTCCGCTTGTCACACGTTTCGGACAGACATACGAAAGCTTATAAGACCTAACACCTACTTACATTATAAGACCTGACACCTACTTACATGTATTCAGTCATGAGAACAGGACGAACCTAGTGGAAAACTGGATGTCATTGACTCACTCACTCGCAATTTCCCTCGAAACAAGAGCCTCATCATGGATTGGCAAGGAATGCTGAAGCGTGCCAACCTTCCACTTGTTGTCTGCATTCACTCAATCACAAAAACCACACCTAGCAACACCATAGCAACCAAAGACTGAAGTGAAAAGGCTGGAGACACCTGACATATGCACACTGTACAAGCCTAGGCGGACATCTTGCGGGATGTGCTGGCTTTTTTCTGACACACTGGTGTAAAAGCCTGCATGTTTCCTACTTATCCAAGATCCTAGGCGACTCAAAGGTTAACCTTTTGGATTATCTTTCTGAGGATTAGAATATCCCCAAAAGGTTAAGGGTTACCAACTCTACTACTAGGGCTTTACCAGACCCCACCTTCCCATCCCCGCATGCCGAGAGCAAGGCCCCGCTCTTCCACTCGGCAGCGTAAATGGCGTGTTTCGGATCCTTTGGGAGGAGGGCACAGGTACCACCTTCCAACATTTTCACGCTTGGTACACTTCTCGATTTTAAGGACTCAGCATATACCTGAAATTATGGTAGGGTTCTTAATGTGATGCAAAGTATGTTCCTTAATTACGGGATACTGGAAGGTAGCTGTTAATACAGGCGTCACTCCCCCCACTATCAGCAGGAGAATACTGATCAGACTGGCACCTGAATAGAGTGCTACCTCAATACAGAGCGGAATGCCGATCACATGTGTCTCTACACTCAGCATGTCTGCAACACAAGACGTGCAGTCTCTTTTCCAAGCCAACATGAACTCTTCGATGCATCTTGAGCGGAAGTTCCGTGGACATTGGCTGAGTAAAGAGTGTCCCTGACGAAGTCACGTGACGCTGACTGCAATGCAACAAGGAGGACTGACAGTAGCAGAGGGGCGTGAATGGTAACAGTACTTGTCCTGAACCATAATTAATATGGGGTACGCACCTGAAACTCCACAAGCCGCCGTCATGCAATTCGACTCGCAACAATGTTATCAGACATTTCGCCGCACGACCTGCAACCGCACACAAGCAACATGAAAGCCTTCTGCCCAACTCACTTGCCCTGAACGCTCTGTCCCAACGCCCCTCAATCCGACGTGCTCGACGCTGGCCTCTGTCGCGTGCTTGGTGTTGCCGGGCACGAACCAGGCCTGCGGGCAATTCTTCGAGCAGCATTACATCTATATATATATATAATATATATATATATATATAATGTATGTATTATTATTATTAGTAGTATTATTGTTATTATTATTATTGTTGCCAGTAGCTGCCTCTTCAATGCTACTGCACTTAGTAGTTCGAGCTTTGGGATATGTCATCGTCATCGCTGGGACCTGGGGGACCCTCTGCTTGGAAATGTGAGCACAATTGCCGCCTTGCATCTTGCACAAAGTAGAGACAGTTTTTCACGGAGGATGTGTAATCTAGTGACATTGGCAAAGACTCATGCATATCAAAAGCCCCCTCTCAGCCGGAATCGCAGCAGTCACAAGCTCCGATTCCGTGAGCCTCGTCTAGGGTGACGCTTGGCTGAGCCTCAAACTTCAGCACCCATCGAAAAGCTCGCATTTGGAAGGATAGTGCGGCGCGACACATGTTCGAGTCGATCAGATATCATGTATCAAGAACAGGTACGAGTTCCGTGTGCAGGGGCCGCACAATGCACATCATGCATTCTAGACGAAACTGATCAGGGTAGTCCCAAGTACTTATGTATTGAAAGAACAATGGAAATAGGGCATCGCAACTGGACATAAGTGAAAAGTTATCTGCTGAGCTAAGTTCAGCTTCGAGGGCCCAAGCAATCCTTGCCGAAGCACTAAGAAGAGTCCATGTACCAATCTAATCTATGATAGGGCCTACACAGCCGATACCACTACCGAATATCAGAGCTCTCCTCATGCTCAAACGACTGGTGAGTGACGCATGAGCACTATTTCAAACCATTGAACCCTGACCCTGTGCATTCCGAACCTTTCACGCCTCACCTGCTGGCAGTTAAGCCTTTTGACGTCGCATATGTCTTTATGCAACAGGTGCAAAAGCCTAGATAAGAAACTTGAATTCGGGTGTTGTTCCGCTGCGAGCCAACTTTTGTTTGCTGTCTCGCAAACTGACCCTGTAGAGGACCTGTATCTAAGTTCAGCGCGTCAAAGAAATGCCAACCATCGCCTGTCCTGCCAGATAAGCCGTCTGAAACCCTATGCATGACCCATGTACTCTGTGGCTTCCTCTAAATTGTCTGTTCATCTCTGACGACACAATATTCTGCGAGAACCTCCAGATGGTTTCTCCATCTAACTTTCCCAAATCATGTGGCTATCTAAGTTGGTAACCTATCGGCATACAAACAAGCGGAAGCTGCTTACCACCGTGAAAATGCACGTGGCTAATTGTGCCTTACATGTGCATCGCGGGGGTGTAACGTTGCTGACGGGTCGGCTTATGCAATTCAGCGGTCTAGCCGGGAAACTTCAACATGCAGATGAACAACTGCACAAACCCAACATGGATGCTCGGTGCTGTGCAGAAAAAACCACAGAAACAACTACATGAGAGACATTCGCATCCATATACATACATACATACATACATACATACATACAAACATACATACATACATACATACAATACATTACAATACAATACATTACA